GGATACAAGGTACAAACTACTGTACAGTCTCAACATTCACTTGGTACAGTCAGTCCTGAAAAATATTTACAAGTCTCATGCGTACTGGGTTGTCTCCTGGCAAACAAGTCAATACCAGCATTGACGTCAATGTTGTAGTGAACATGCACTGAGTCTATTCTGGGCCATCCTGGAGCGCAGATTTGACTAATTGATTTTAGGAGGGCAGATACTGATCGCTCACGCTCACAGGTTGTTGACGGTAAATCACTTGCAGTCTTTATAAGTGGCGAAGTTTGGGAAAGTGTCAGAGTCCACTAACTGAAGGCTTTAACTAACACTGGCTAGTGCAGGAGAAGGGTGCGATGTCCAGAATGCCCTCCACAATTCCATCTAGACATGCAGGCAGAGAATCAGGATGAGGCAAATAATCAAATATATAGATCAAAGATTTGAGAATGAATGCTTCCCAACTTGGCTGACATATTGCTACTGGAAAGATTGGCCCTACAAATGCCACATATGCTACCTGGTTGTAAATCCAAATATGAAAGTGTCCACAAGTGGAATTATGAGGTGTATTCCTCTGTCGTGTCTTTCACAAGCTCCAGGCTTGGTTAGCACCCGTCTACTTTCACAGCAAATGTTTCTGCTTTCTTCAACAGCTCTGACCTCAGTTTGTCCATATTCTCCCAGTGTAGTGACTAAAACGTGGGCGTTGGCATACGCCTGATGCACCTCTTCCTCTCTCCCCTGCAGTTTTGGTGGCAAGTTATCTTGTGTATTGGAGAACGTCTTTGCACAACACCAAAGAGAAAATAAAATCACTTGGTGTGATTGCATTGGCCAGGCTGGTTGTCTTAGTGACTGTGTCGCAGCTGCTGAGGGGCTCGCTTCTAATGGAATCTGGGGCATCCACGACCGGTGTTTACAAGTCATGGAGACTGAGTAGGGAATCCTGTCGTTCAAGTTACCTTCCAATAATTAAACGTTTACATCAGAAAGGCGCTATGATAATTCATCCTTAAAAAGAGTGTCCAAGATCCAGTTAACTTTTGACAAAAAACTTGAAAACTATCCTTTTAGTTGAATTCAGTCAAATAAAATGTTACACTATGGCTAGATATTTATTAAATGTTATGAAAATGATAGATGTTTAACAAAGTGATTTACAATTACATGTATAATAACCTCACACATATTTGGTATACCTGTAATATGAGAACTAACATTGACAGTAAATGCATTTGCCTCATCGTCTTATAAATACCTACATGTAGTTTTACACTGGGCCTTCAGTTTGCTAATCTTTGATTCAGGCAACATTTCTTCCACAGATGCGTCCAGGGTGCTTAGCTTTTTGAGTGAATAGTTTAAGAATTCTGAGGTCACCCCAGGAAGTTTCTTACCATCTGAAATCATAAAATACCTGTATGTAAAACACTAAATCAGTGAATTTTTTTATGGGAACCAGCTGAGATAATTAGGTTATTGGGCATATAATCACATTTGGAATTAATATTGAGATTTTAATTGCATTATTATTATTATTATTATTGTTTGTTTGTTTGTTTGTTTGTTTGTTTGCTTGTTTTGTTTCAAGACATCTCCTGGCATCTCCAACGACAACTCTACACTATAAAACAGTGACAAATAAGGATCAAAATAATATATGATTGTAGTTCAATTCAATATATAATGAATAAAAGGGTTACTAATACAACATTAGCACTGCACAATGCACATATTTATCTGTAAATCCAAGTATGAAATTGTCCACCAATGGAATGATGAGGTGTCTTCTGTAGAAGTATTGCTCTGTCGCGGTCGTTGGAGTATTCTCTCGATGTCGCTGCCTTTCACAAGCTCTGGATTGCACATGCCTTCATCACCCACGGGTTCAGCTGATTAGATGTCTCAGGCAGTGGATGTATACTGCCTTTGATTCTTGCTGCAGCGCCATTCACCTTGCCGGTCATATTCCCTGTCCCATCGTAACACTGTCCTTTGAAAAATACATTGTCATAAACTTTGGTGAAATACAAGCAGCTAATTTCTATTAATTTCTGTTTATTTCTATATAATGCACACCTCATTTTATTTCAATGCCAAAAAAAAAAAACAATTTAAAATTGACCATAAGTATGAGAGAAACCAACTTGACATAGGAGAATTTTTTGTCTCAAATATATTCACTGCTATTTTTTCATTCATAAAAAGCGTTTTACAATAATGAATTTTCCCGGTAAAAGCCAGAAATATCCAGCAGCTTACTGCAGCTTACCCGAGCTTCTCCATGCTGAAACCAAGATCTGACACTGTAGTCTGTATGAGCTTGGCAGTTGCTCCTCCTGATATGCTCTCTCAACACTGCTGGTGGCCTATGAAGTCTTCGCGTACCTTCCCAATGGACTCACCTTGTTACTGCAATCTGTTGCTTGTTTTGTCATGATTGTAAAAAAATAACATATTTCTCTGCAATCTTTTCAGCGACAATTTTTTCTGCAGCAGTCTATGAGCTCGTTTTGAACAGTCTTACCCCTACACGTAGCATTCTTTGGTGCATCCTGGCAATGTACCCCCTAAATGGCATGACCAGCATCCACTCTAAACTCGCTTAACTTTTGAAAGTTCCATGTGTTGCTGAAAGAACTGTTGTTTCGATGCCCTCTCGGTGCCAAATTTTGTCTACCACACAGCAAAATTGTCTTAACAATAAACGCAAGCTTTGTCCTGTTTTCTGCTAATTTCTTTGCCAATGCATGGCCAAGCTGCTGGGTGACTGGCACAGACTTGCAGCCAGGGGGCTCGGGAGGGGGGGGGGGAATTACCGCCCCTTTTGCTGGAAAAAAGTCCGCTCTGGGTAAAATTTGATCTAGGTACATGACATTTTTATGGAAAAAGGTCCACTTTTTCAGATAAAGAACCCACCTTTGAAAGTGCTGGCTATACAGGCTTGAATGTTGACATGGCAGAATAGTGAACCTCAGATTTTGTGTCATTTTCTTTCAACTTCCTAAGTGCAGAAGTCCATGTAGTGAGGGAATTTGACATTAGCCTGTCCGGTTTTTGGCTGTTCTTTCCAACCTGGGCCCCAAACAAAACAAGGGAAAACAATATGCCCCATCTTTTTTTGAATAATATGCAAGCCACTTTAACTGTTGCAGCCACGTCGCTTGGAACGATCTCATCATGTCATATTTTTCCCTTCTTGAGGAACTCGTAACGACTAGGTGGATGCCAAATATTCTTGGTGTATCTGATAAAGAGAGGACAAAAAAACGAAGTAACTTAATAATTTAACCTCAGAAATGGTGTATTTACTATCCACTCTGGTGTATAGGTCACACCTGGCATTTTCTGTAAAGTTCAATGTAAAATATTTTTACTATAGTACAAAGACAACATGTTGCCAAACCTCACTGGACTTGCATACTGAAAGAAAAAATGATTTGTTATTAAATTTTGTTTAAAACAAAAATAATTGTAAATGTGACAACTACATGTAACTGTATGTGATCAAGTAAGACCCTTGCCCTACCAGTGTTTGATTACTTAGACAAAGTTGATATATTAATCTGATAACACCAACGAACTGTTCCTGAGTTAAGTGACTAAATGACTTTGATCATTCAACGCAGCCTGAGTAAAGCCTTTGGCTATTCTACCTACCTGTAACTTCCCACTATTGATACTGATGGTGGTGTCTTTTCAATTAAATAGACGATGCTTGACCTCTGTGGACATCACAGTGAAACATGAGATTTAAGGGGGCACTAGTAGAGCGATAAATCAGCACTCCCATCCTGGACCTTACGCTGGTATACAGATTGTAACACTAGACGTCATCATCACGCACTACTGCCAAAACTGCGCTGCTCAAAATGGCCAACGTCGATCAGAGTCTTATCGCTTTTTTCTCCAATCTTGTTCAGCCTACTGTTTTGATATTCGTGGTAGTGTTGTTGCTAAGTCTGTGGATGCTGTCGTCGAGGAATCCTCGGGTGAACTGGCCGCCCGGACCTGTCTGTTTCCCCGTGGTGGGAAGTCTCCCACAGATGATGATCAGCGGTAGGAGACGACAACCGACGGATCTTCTTACATGGTATGATACATACGGAGATATCATACACGTCAAATTTGGTGAACAACACATGATAATGCTGGGAACTTATGAGCTGATCCAAGAGGCTTTCGTGAAGAATGCAGCTACAGTCAGTGCTAGACCTACGTGGATATATTTCATTAAACGAATAGTTGGAAAAGACGGTAATTACAAGATTTGAAAATTTACGAATGCACGTACCTCTTTATGTGTGCACTGTGGTATATCCAGGATATTGTGCTTATCGCGAGCGCGCGTGCGTGTGTGTTTGTGTGTGTGGGGGGGGGGGGTGAAGTAAACAAAGACAAAAGAAGGGAGAAGAGAGGGATAAGAAGAGCCTCTTCCTCTTGGATCCGAATCGAATTCATATTTAGGAGTACGCGTTGGGAATATAAGTGAGCCCTGGCGCTGTTATCTTATAAATGTAGGTTATATAAACTGGGGTTTGACACAAAGATAACTGACACAGTTTTTCACTATTTAGAGTATTAATTCTGACTGCTTTACTAGGGTCAATAAAGAAAAGGGCCCACAAAACATCTGTACAATATGTATAGTGTCTACGCACGGTCCGTCATTTCTCTCTCTCTCTCTCTCCCCATCTCTCTCTCTCTCTCTCTCTCTCTCTCTTTAGTGTCTTCCCCCCCCCTCCCCCCATTGCTCTGGACCTACTGGTATCTATGTGTACGCCATTACTGTTAGAAAGCATTAGAAGGAACCACGGTAATGATGGGATAAGATGAAAGCAGGGAAAAAGACCCAGTTATGGTAGTTTAATATTAATTGGGCCGGTCCATAAGGAAAAGACATACGTTTTAAAGAATTTTTGTTTGTGTATATGGAAGATATTAGGATATTTAGGATATTATGACGTTTGTTATTAATATTTGTCTTTAACTCAATGATTTAACTGCAGGGGCTGGAGTTATATTTAAATCCGGGCACGAATGGAAAGAGCTGAGGAGATTCACGCTCTCGTCTCTTCGAGATCTCGGCCTCGGGAGAAGAAGTTTAGAAGAAAGAATTCAGGACGAGGCTCGATACTTGGTGCAAAACATTGAAGATGAAATGGGAAAGGCTTTCTCTCCCAGAGACAGGATTGGAAAAGCTGTCAGCAACATTATTTCAATCATTGTGTTTGGAGCTAGGTAAACGAGGTGTTTTTATTGACTAGCCTTTATTAAAAATGCAGTAAATGACATTCCGGAAAGAGTAGAACTTGGGCACAAAATACGAATTTTGTTTGTCCAAGAGTAGAATGAGACTTGACGTTACAAATTTTAGGCTAACCGACCATAAAAAATTAGTTTACAAACGTTTACATGGAATCTACAATTTAACAGAACATTCAAAATTATAACACTAGTTATCTCAACCACTGACATAAGTCAGCTGAAACTGAGAGCTTGGCCCTTAATTTAGTTATAAGTGGATGCATTAATAAAATTGACTAGGGGGTCTCTTCGATGGTATGCATGAGCTCTTTAGAATGGGCGTTATGGTATTTTACTTTGACTTATCCCTTGAGATGAATTAACTTTCTTTCGATTTTTAAGCGACTGGGGGCTGGGCTGAGCATGGCGGTGGATTATTTATTCACATCAATGATTATGAATTCTATACTATTGAATAGGCACGCCTGAAGACAGATTTTTTATGTTATGTTTCAACATTAAAATATTGTTTTCTTATGTTTATTTTATTTTATTTTATTTTATTTTATTTTATTTTCAATATTCACTGTCCTGGGCGCAGCACAATATCCATGGGGTGGGCCCAATGGGCGAGCTCCTCTTGACAATGTGACAATGTAGCGATGGTTACCCGTCGACAACTTTTTTCTTCAACATTTTGGTTGAAACTATTTCAGATATGACTATAATGACACCCCAGAAATGCTGCCAGTTTTGGAGCAAGCCATGAGAATTGGCCAAGGGCCTCTGTTCTTTACCAACATGGCGCGTTTCTTGTTGCCGGTAAAATTAATTTCTTCACCACTTATTACAAAGAACATTTATTTCCTAATAATTGTGTCGTGTTACATTTAGTCGTTATTAGTTGATTTACTTGTAAATGTATATCAATTCATTTAATTTATCATAAATGTATTTCATATACCATAAGAATGTTTTGGAACCCACGAAATATAGATTTCTATAATAGATAAAGAAGATAATGGCTCTCATTGACAAGCTATATAGTTTGATACGACAAGAAGTCGAACGACACCGCCAGTCTTTTGATCCAACTGACATCCGGGACTTTATTGACCTCTTCATAAAGGTCACCCAAGAGAAGCAAGATCCCGAGATCTACACAGGTACAGTATATCACAGGCAAAGGGTCCGTTCACGGCTTTGGTGAGATGTAATAACGCAGGCCCGTAGCCAGGGGGGTTCGGGGGGTACGAAAGAACCACCCTTTTTGCTGGGAAAAGGTCCACTCTGGGTAAAATTTGATCTACGTACTTGAGGATTTTATGATAAAAGGTCCACTTTTTCAGAAAACGACCCCCCTCTGAAATTGCTGGGCCTGTAACGGGATTGTTATTTTATTTCAAACCGTTTTGCACACCGCGTATCACCCGATAACTAATCTATAGTTTCCGACCATCTGTGACAGATCATCGTACCGGTACGACCTGTGTAACGAAACTGAGGGTCTGTGTAACAGAAAGTTCGCCCTCCATGTAGTTATAATAGTAAGGGTTAGCCTGACCTAAGTGGGTCAAAATCTAGGGCGAGGCTCACCTGTACAAATGAATGGAAAGTAGACTCTCTATCATGAGGGACTCTCTGTCACGTTACACCGGTTATGGTCGACTGATCGTATATAGATGTACAAGCGTGCAAACAGGCGAGCACGTGGTTTCACTAATGCAGCTGTAAAATGAATACGAAACAAATTCAATTATGCAATCATAATCAAATTCAAACATAACTTTCAGAATGGAACGTATTCCGCATCATTGTTGATCTATATTTGGCTGGAACTGACACAACAGCAAATACTTTGAGATGGTCCCTGGTTCATTTAATGAAACGGTCGGACGTTCAGAAGAAGGTGCAGCAGGAAATTGATCAGGTAACGATGTAAAACTGAGTACGAGAGAGAGTGAGATTTTTTCTTTTTATTGCAACAATTTTGTGCTTGTAAAAAATACACAATGTTACAAAATGTACGTGGTTCTTATCGATTTTATATTTACTGGTCGATAAGATTTAATGTGTTTAATTTAAGGTCATAGGTCAAGGTCGTGTTGCCAAGATGGAAGACAAGGCCAGGATGCCGTTCACTGAAGCAACCATCTTGGAGGTCTTTCGTATGTCCCCCGTTGGTCAGTAAATTTTATTTTAAGTTAAACTCACAATGTATTCCTTAAATTTGAAAATAACTACCAATAAACTGATCGATTCATCAATAATATAACAACAACAACAACAACCAAGTTTTGTGTGTGATTTAAAATGGAATGACAAGAAAAGTTATGCGAGATTGTCCTATTTCATGGGACATTTCCTGATTTAAAGTTAATGCCTGACGTGAAACACGTACAGGGGTACAGGCACAGGGAACCTTAGTACCTCTTAGTCAGGCCTACCCAACTACTAGACTCGGCACATAAGGATCCTGAATTAACCGGTATATCGGACCACACTACCCATTTTCAAGGTGTGTGTCAGATCGCATTTCGGAGTATCAGTCAGAACACCGACAGGATGAGCCCGCAGTCGTCCTACAAAATTTGTTCTGGGGTATGATACTCCGAAATGCGATCTGACACACACCTTTAAAACGGGTAGTGTTGTCCGATATACCGGTTAATTCAGGATCCTTATGTGCCGAGTCTGGTAGTTAGGTAGGCCTGTTAGTAGTTAGGTTGGCTTTATTTAGTTAATTGGTACCCACACACCTGACTACACATTTCTCTAGTTACATATTTCGTTGGAGACACGTTTTAAAAATAAATAACACATTTTACCTAGACATACCTTTTAAAATAAAGCATTCCATATTAAATGTAAATTCTGTATACCTTTCTCACTCTGCCCGTCCCTCCCTCTGTGTCAATTAAACCAGTTTGATATGAAATATATTTTTTTCTTACATGTCATCAGCTCCGCTGGGTGCGCCCCATGCCACCAGTGAAACAACCAACTTGGCCGGATACACCATTCCCAAGGGCACCATAATACTGGGAGATTTGTACCGGGTTCTCCACGATAAGAATAACTTCGAGGATCCTTACAAGTTTAAACCAGAAAGATGGCTGGATGATGATGGTAAAGTGATCAAGTCGGACAAATTGATACCGTTTTCCATAGGTACATGTGCGGTATTTTTCATTAGAAGTTCAGTTGTTGAAATAACGTGTACAGTTGTTAAGCATCCCATCAAGTACAATTATTTTTGACGTAAAAAATCTAGACATGCATTGAAAGCTACACTTCGGACATCTTCCGTCACCCTGAGACTGCCCCAGTGAACATGTGTTGCAGGTTATTATTATTATTATTATTATTATTATTATTATTATTATATCTAGTGTGGAAAAGTTCACGTAAAAGTAAGCTTTTCATATACTGTTCACCAAATTTTACACAGTATATGTGTATTTCAGGACCCCGTGTTTGCCTGGGCAAGGGTCTGGCTGAAATGGAATCGTTCATTTTCTTCACCACGTTGCTTCAGAATTTTACCTTCAAGGTACCAGAGGGCGAGAAACCACCCGATGGAGTGGAGGGTTTTAACGCGTCCACTTTCACACCATACAGCTACAACGTGTGCGCCGTGAGACGTTAAAATGAAGAAAACGGGCCAAAACGAGAAAGCGCCGTTTATTGTGCTATACACTTGTTTATTGTTTATTTTCTTCTGACAAAACATTTTACACGCCACTTTAAAGGGCTGCTTTACAACTGCTTATGCCTATCATCTATGCAATAATTTCGAACTCAAAGTCAAAATGCGGTTGAGACCCTGCTTGTGATTTTACATTCACGTTATGATAATAGTAATGATAATTAATCATTTATTCTTACATGGCGGATTCCATTAAAATTTCATTGTACCGTGTAATTGTTTTTAATTAAAGAGCTGTAAAATTACAATTTAAAATAAATAAATATTAGAATTAATAAATATTTAAAATGACAAATTAAAACTTAGTTATAAAATAAAAGATTAATAGCTTATTAATAATCATAATATAATATTAATAATTTTAAGTTTAAAGATTAAATATTGCCAATGAGAATACTGGGATCTATACGAATAAAAACTGCTTGATACATGGTGCGTTGTTCGCATGTAGCAAGCTTTTATTGTTTAAAAGCAACTTTAATTTTATTGATATGTCTCATTTTTATCATAATAGCACTTTTAGTATTGTGACTGTAACATCTAAGTTGGAGGACACTCAGAATTATAATTCTTGTCGTACCGTATGTTGATGTCCTGGTAAAAGCAAAACTTGTCACGGAAGAAAAGTGACGAATGTAACTATATATGTACACCTTTCGTCGAGACAAAAAAATGACTAGCTGAAATAACTTTTAACCAATCCAACTAAAATACCAAAATACAAGCCTGAGCGAATCCTAAACACTTTATTCCTATTACATGTACTTTAACTAAATTTTCAATGCATGTGTTTTGTTTCGAACTCAATTCGATCTTCATGTTAATCTTAAATTTTATGTAAATGTGATTTTCCCCCTTTTTTTAAAATAACAGTGAAATCTATACCTCTGAATTATATTCATACCTGTAGTTCAAAACTGGGCTAGTTTGAACTTTACGATTTACAAATGCGGGCTTGCTACCTGGCGCGATTCTTGACTCCAGTTTGTGCAAAAACACAATTTTGTATCAGTGTCAACGATTGGAATACTGGCAGAGACTACAGCTAAAGGTTTTAACTTATGGTTTTCAGCATCTACCAAATTTGACCATAGCTTGTTTACATCAGGTATGCTTATCTTACAGGTAAATAATGAAAGCTCAATCTAACAGCTCAGCCTCATCTATGAGACGGCATCGGTGAATAGCGCATTTACAGCACGTGCCCGCGTTGCTCATTAACTTCCAGACCTAGCAAAAAGAGTACATTTTTCAAAGATTGATATTCACGCATTAAACACCTACTTTGTGTGCTTTGATACGTAAATCAATAGTTGGACAAGTATTCTGAAGGACAACCACCATTCATCTCTGTCACTGTTTTTGTTTTCCTTTAATGACGATATTACGAGAGTGACAGTCTTCTAGATGCAGTCGTACGTTTCCCATTACTGTGCACAGGTAACATTCGCCGCCATACACTGACTGGATACTTTTTACTAAAAAAAATGACATCCTGACGTTATTAAATAACCATATGGGATCCAGGACTACTGTTCCTGGGACTAGAATTCCTGCCACAGCGGTGTGTGACTTCAGGGCTGCGTTACTTGTAGACTTGCAGATTAAAGGGATAATAACTCTTCGTATGAAATCTATATTTCACAATAAAAAAATTGTGAATAACTCAAAGAAATATAATATATTCTGTTTTACGACAAAAACAGCAGTTATAGCTATTATTCTGATATCTGAGCTTGTCTTTAGACCACGTGACCTCCATTGATGGCTATACTATCAAGTTATACAAGTTATAATTTATAAAGTATAGCTTCCCTTTTAGCCAACAAAGAAATACTGTTTATTCTCTTTATTTCTTATAAAACTGTGATCAATTGCTCATCAAAATATTTCTATAAATGCAGTTGAATCTAAAAAAAAAATTACATTTCATATAACTTTTGGTTTGTGATTTATTAAAAATTATCTATTAATGTTATCCACAACTGCCTCAAAGGAACCATCATGATATATAACTGAGAAAGACCAATGCTAATAAATAACATACAATTAACATGTTAGAGAGGATGTCAGGGCAAATTTCATTACCTCACATGTTCTTCAGGATCATTTATTTGCCAAGTTTTCTTTTCATTTAATTTCTTTTCAACCATAAATGTGAGGTAAACACCATAGTTTGTTTAAAAATATTTTTTGCTTACCTATACATATTAGAAATGAAATGTGCATTGTGAAAATCTGACCATTTTGCTTACACGGAAGCTATAAATTTAAACTTGGAGTTGCTTTTTTTGTGGTTTGGACTGATGATTTAAGTCAAACAAAGACTGGTCAGAATATAGGGAATTACTGTTTACCCTCGGAAATTAGTTTTCCATGAGTTTTTGAGACTTTTTTGGCCCTGACAGCTCTGTAATGGCCCAATTGCATATTTAACCAGAGTAGAGTTTTCTCCACTGCTGATTTCTGCATTTTAAAATTCGTTTCTGATTGTTCCTGTGGGCTTAGGAACCTATAGGAAATTCTATAGGATCCTATAGGAAATTTCCTATAGGAATCTTATAGGAAATTTTCGTAAGGGCTTTCAAGTGTGTCAACTCACTAAAACAAAGTTGCTTCGCTATTGTGCGCATTTTCTATGTGCCTATTTGTTAGCGTATAATACTATTTGGAAATTTTCAAATCACTACATTACCGTCCTTCCCGACTATTTGTCTTAAAAGGTATATCCAAGTAGGTCTAGCGCTGACTGTGGCTGCGTTCTTCACGAAAGCCTCTTGGATTAGCTCATAAGTACCCAGCATTATCATGTGTTGTTCACCAAATTTGACGTGTATGATATCTCCATATTTATCATACCATGGAAGAAGATCTGTCGGTTGTCGTCTCCTACCGCTGATCATCATCTGTGGGAGACATCCCACCACGGGGAAACAGAGAGGTCCGGGCGGCCATTTCACCCGCTGATTCCTCGACGACACCATCCACAGACTTAACAACAAGACTGCTACGAATATCAGAACTGTAGGCTGAACAAGATTGGAGAAAAAAGCGATAAGACTCTGCTCGACGTTGGCCATTTTGGGCAGAGCAGTTTTGGCAGCAGTGCGTCATGGCCAGAAATGCGCAGCATTCACGAGGTACGCGAGGGCGCTACAGTGACTCAACTAGCCAATCACAGCACAACAATGGCATTGCACACAGAATCTGTGATAAGTGCTCAGCTCATTGTCAAGTAGTGTTAGTTCATGGTAACAAGCGTCTGACATGTGCAGAGAAGTTTATTGTAATATATATTGTTCTTATTGTTACATTTTTAAATCTAACTCTGTATCCAAGTAATAACTATACTGTACCAAGTCAGGTACTGATGATGTGCAGAGGTCATATATTCCAGAATAAGCCATTACCACTAATTTATAACTTAAATTTTGTTTAATATGTTATTCATGAAAGAGTTAATGAAAGATTATTTTAATTTGTTAAATCGTGATCTTATTCTTTTTATATTCAAATAATTGAATAATGTGGGTAAAATTGGTCTTCCACTTCTTATTTGCATTTTTCCTTTACTACAAATTTATTTTGGAACAGTTGCAGCATTAAAATTTCAAATAAATAGCAATCTGAAAGAAGAATTTTGCATTATTATTAAATGATGATAGGAATTTTGGATTAAGAGATTAGTTAAATACTGAGTAGTGATATTGTCAGTCAATTTATGTAGAATCTGATAATATAATTGAAAATACTGATTGAATTCTTGGCCTTGCACTGGGCAGTTTCACATTTGTGCCAAGTGCTTTTTTGGACTCCATTGTACAGTGGTAAAAGTTCTTCAATTGCCATGAAAGTTTTTAATCAGACTCTGTATGGTGCTGCTATCTGCTGGTGCTATCGGCAACGCATTAGTTTGCCTTTGTTTCTGAGTGAATCTACCGTCTAAAATCACTATTTCTGAAAATATGTGCGTTTTGCTGAGGGTATAGGCTAGGCAATACACGGCAAACTTCTTAGTACGTGTGTACAACAGAATTTTTTTAAAAACCCTAGCGATATTTGGTCAGGAGTTGCTTGAAGCATAGCACAGCGTTGCTGTCTATCGGCATCAGGCCGTTAGTTTGTCAATTATCACGAATTACCCACGAATCGCGAACCCATTCTTTTTCCTATGGCAATCTAGCAACTCATTAAAAGTGCACGCATGCGCAGTGGGCTTAGCGTGACGTCATGCAGTGCATTTCTGGGAATGTGATGATGACGTCTAGTGTTACAATCTCTATACCAGCGCAGTGTAAGAACTGTGATGGGAGTGCTGATTTCTCGCTCTACTAGTGCCCCTCTTAAATCTCATGTTTCACTGTGATTTCCACAGAGGTCAAGCATCGTCTATTAAATTGAAAAGACACTATAGCCAGTATCATACCAGGGACTTAACCAGACCTTTATAAATTGTACGCACAGATTATTAAAATTCCCAGCACGTACTGGTACAGCAAAATGTAGACTAACGCAACAGATGAAGGACACAGCATATGCACCGCACATCGCAGTTTAATTCCCATTAATAATAAAATCAACATTTAAGTCATAAATATTTTCTCGATTTAATAAAGTTCCAATATTCTTATTTACCCAGAACGGTATATTTATTTAAAAGGAGGCTAACTTCGCATAGGCGGACCCCCCCCCCCCGCCCCTTCGAATAATCCTGGATCCGCCTCCGAGTTGAACGGTTTCATCCATCTTTCATGTGGATGGCTTTATACTTGTATGTAATAAATGTTTTATATTTCCATAGCTACTATTAGTTGAACATACAGCATTGCTATTTATACGTTTATTTCTACATTATTAGAGCAGGCAATGTTGTCAGATGGGCTTGAAAGTGAAGGTGAAGTCCAGTACATTTTAGATGGTGTGGCACTCCTTCATCACACACATTGGACTGTTTGAATCTCTTACACACCAGGGAGATATAGGAGAGCTATAGTGTAGCATTATAAAGGGATCATCTTGGATGTCCCGTCTACTGAGCTATGGTTCTGCACACCTAGTAAGATTCAATTAACAGTATGAGCACAGCTATCGTCTTCACAGATGAGACGAAGCTGCAGAGTAGAAAAGAAAAAATTCTTATCAACAAAGAAAACAAACAGGTTAATTTATTTGCTTGGAGAGAAGTTGGAAGGTGCTGGAGTTGAAGTAATCCAAGTTCCAGGTGATGCAGACCTCCATATTTCATTTAAATAAAGAAGTTTATCTGAAGCGCACATCATATGATCATAATCTTCTGAGCCTTGTCCCGAAGCCATAATTGCTCGCAACGTCATTTTCTTGTGTTTGAAGTAAAACATAGGTCATCCCTGGTGAGGCAGTTAGGTTCTAATTGACTGGTCAGTTATTTATAACTAAGATTCAAATGGATTCAAGACATTGAATTAAGTGTAGGGACAGGTTTGGAATACATTTTAAGTAGGAAATAATGTCGTTTACCTCAGGCAAGTTTATTTTGGTGCATGAATTGGATAAAGAGCACCTTTAAAATAATTTTATGTAAGTGTTTATGTCCTGGCCAATCTAATACTACAACAGTGGTAAAAGACCATAAATGTATTTTTGAGCTTATTTTTTATTCAATTTTTTACTTCAAATTTGGTAATTTGTAGCCACCATTTTAGTTTTGGCGGCCATTTTGTATATTGTTGAGGCTATCTGCATTTGATTTATTTGGAGAGAAGTGGCACAACATCCCTTTATGCATTTTGTACCATTTTAACAAGCTTTTGTTGAAACCACCTGGAGCAAATTTGCACCTACTAATTGTAGATCTCTGTGCTGGCGGCCATTTTGGATTTTCCCCAAAAAATACCTGTTCCACTACTTGGATTTTCCTAGATTTTTAATATGATCATATGGACCACTCAGAGACAATAAAATACATACTGCAATTTTTTTTTTTTTTTGCAATTAGTCCTGGGTTAAAGCATTTTTTTCTTAGACTAACTGGGGCTGGGTGTAAAAAGAAAAAAAATACTTATATTAACAAACAAACAAACAAACATATAATTGCTGTTGTACCGTATGTTGATGTCCTGGAGAAAAGCTACGAATAGTATTATTCACACCTTTCGTCGAGACAAAAAAAAAAACGAAAATGACTAGCTGAAATAATTTATAAGCACCAGAACATACAGAAAGACATAACCAATCCAAATAAAATACCAAAATACAAGCACGCGCGTTTCCGAGACACTTTTTTCCTACTGCTTAAATAAATTGCGATGTATGTGTTTTGTTTCGAACTCAATTCGATCTTCATATTAATCTTTAATTTTATGTAAATATGATTTTTTTTTTTTTTTTTTTTTTTGAAAAAAAAATAACAGTGAGATCTTTACCTCTGAATTATATTCATAGTTCAAAATGGGGCTAGTTTGAACTTTACGATTTACAAATGCTGGCCTGCTACCCGAAGTGATTTAAATTTTTTGACTCCAGTTTGTGCTAAAACGCAATTTTACCAGTGTCAGCGATTGGAATACTAGCAGAGACTAGTACTACAGTTTAAGATTTAAACTTGTGGTTTTCATCATCTGCTAAATTAGACCATAGTTTGATGTTCACATCAGGTATACATATCTTACAGGTAAATAATGAAAGCTCAATGTAACAGCTTAGCCTCACCTATGAGGGGGCATCGGCAACTTCCGAGTTTGGAGCACGTGGCAAACTTCTAGAGCTTACATAAAGAGTACATTTTGCAAAGACTGATATTTATGTTCATGTAACAAACTCCCACTTTGCGTATTTTGATATGAAAATGGTTTTCCTTTGATGGCGATATGACAGGAGTGGAAATCTTCTAGGGACAGTTGTCGGTTTCCCACGATTTAGTACACTAACTCGATACTTTCGACTAATAACCCTGACATTCTGACATCATCAAATACCATATAGATCCAGGACTACAATTCCTGGGACTAGAATTCCTGTCACAGCTATTCTCAACGTTAGTTTGACTCCACGGCTTCATTACCTTGTTCACAGCGCTGTCAACGGCAAGGCTGGTCGCCCCTTTCAGACGCGTGCAACGTGAGTAGGTGAGAAGTGAGAAGATTTTACAGGATAGGGAATATAAAAAAACGTAAATAGGAGTTCAAATGCTTTGATTTTCGAGTTTCTTTAGTCACGTGAGAGTTATTGGCCACGCATACAGGTACATAAACGATTTAAAATTACGCTTACCGCAAAACCTGAAATAATTTTGAAATTCCGTAAGTTGTTTTAATTTAATTAAAATAGTTCAATGAGGCCTAGGCACCTAGCCTGGCAAATTTAGGTCTATACGTGCCACAAGTTAGATTGATCACTCTGTTAACTAGATTTGATGAAGTCGGGGAAACGGAAAAAATAGAGGGGACTTCTAAAGCGGGAGGTCGGTGGCTGCCTTCGGTTGCATCCTCGGCAGCGCAGCTGGTCTTAACGGCCCCAACTATATGTTCATGTACCCTCTATCAGGGCAACGGATTAATTTTTCATTACATATTCACAGATATATCTCTGGTTAAATAGATAGGCAATCTCTGTACGGTGACGCCTCAGCAAAATGTCCACAGAAGTATAAATGCGGTCCTGGTAGAGAGTAGTGCTCATACATATATCTAGTTTTGGGTTCCACAGTTAATAAAATAGTTATCACCTTCAACCTGATAATAAAATTAAGGATTAAAAAAACAAAAATACAGAATAAGTTTGATTTTATAAAAGAAATCGATCGCTGTAGCATCGAGAATGAATGTCTATGATACTGACTTGACAAATATTTTTACCATTGAAAATAAAAACACTGCAGTGGCGGATTTAGAGGGAGGGTTAGGGGGGCCTAACCCCCCCCCCCCCTTCCATTTCCCAAAAAATTCACACCTCTTGAAATTAGAATTTTGAATAGCTGAATCATACTTCTAAACAGTACCAAATGGCACCGTTCAACCTATAAAACATCAAAAATTTTCAAGGACCTTTAGCGGGCCCCGGGCCCCACGCCATAGGGGGTGGGGGTGGAGAGGGAGGGTCGGCTTCACATCCGCGGACCCCCCTTCAAATAATCCTGGATCCGCCCCTGTAGTGTTACTACAGCTTACTTTCAACATAGAAAATGTAATAATAATGAAAATTGCTAATGTTTGATATTATTATAATTTTTTCTAAATTAAACTTAAGAAATGCAACTTACAATCTACAATACAATGCTATTCACTTCTTCCTATTTACCCCTCACTTTCTTCTTTCATGCACACATATGCACACATATCATACCAATCAACTCAAAACCTATTAACTACAATATTTGATACTAGTCTTATCATTACCTTGTTTGACGATAAAGATTGAAAATTGCCGATTCATAAGGTTGACTTGCGGTTCAATTCCGTAGGTCTGATATGAATAGGTAACGCAGGTAGATAAAATAAACCACCTTTAAAGAAACCTTGGCAAAGTCCAACAATTAGGGGTGTACCCTTACTTTAAGAGAATAGTGATAGGAACGAGACAGTATTTAAAAATTCCTCCAGATGCCCTACATAAGAATGGAAACGATAAATGACAGTCTTTTCGAAAGTCTGTTTTAAAAAGTAGGTATAGAATATGGCCTTCTGACTGCAAGCCAATATGCATAGTGTTATCAACGTATACACTCAATTCAGTGTTCACATCACAAGGGAAGAAATCAAGAGGCAAATTTTTTATAATAAGTACTGCCTCAATATGCATCTTTAAATATAATGAATGCTGTTTTGCATGCATGTTTGAACTGTGCGTCTTCAATCTAACGTCTAACGGCGCACACTTTCTAACGTCTAACGGCGCACACTTTCTAACGTCTAACGGCGCACACGTTATAGACGTGTGGTGCAAAAGTGTCAGCGTAGGAACCTTCCACTCCATCGGGTGGTTTCTCGCCATCTGGTATCTTGAAGGTAAAATTCTGAAGCAACGTGGTCAAGAAAATGAATAATTCCATTTCAGCCAGTCCCTTTCCCAGGCAAACGCGGGGTCCTGAAATAAATAAATAAATAAATAAATAAATAAATAAATAAATAAATAAAGTAAAATGATTAAATAAAGTAAAATAATATAAGCATTTCATACTTTTACCTTAACTTTTTTACACTAGTTCTACTTGGTGTAGGTAGACAACGTGAATGCTTCGAATGAAATGAAACTAATTTATTTCAAGAATGACACCGGACTTTGGGGATTACTTCGACCCCCTGCATCCCCCCTCAACAGGACTTGACTTGCTCATCATATTTCAGTCTCTGACTGCTACAACTATACATGTGCACTTTGGCAGCACATCTACACAATTCTTGAGTGATTTCAACATCGTTGCTGATGTGCGGTATACTAGGTCTAACGTAAAACAACGTACCCATGGAAAATGGTATCATTTTGTCCGACTTGGTCACTTTAGCGTCGCCATCCAGCCATCTTTCTGGTTTGAACTTGTAAGGATCTTGGAAGTTATTTTCATCGTGAAGAATACGGTAGAAATCCGCCACTATCATGGTGTCCTTGGGAATGGTGTATCCCGCCAAAATTGTAGTTTCACTGGTGGCATGGGGAACTCCAAGCGGGGCTGATGGCATGGAAGAAAATAGATGTTTTAACTTAAACAAACGAATAATGGATCTTTTGCAGGTGAAATACCAGGAAAGTTTTCTTTTATCACAAAGGCACCAGACGCACTCGGCTCATTGAGTATGCTTAAATTTCTTAATTATGCGAATAACTGTACTTTTTCAAACAAGATTTTTATTACAAACACGTTTCTTAGTAATGCACTGTCTTCGTAATGAATATTTTTTTTATTATTTTGGTGAAATGGCAAAATTCACTGACCAACAGGGGACATACGAAGGACCTCCAGTATGGTTGCTTCCGTGAACGACATCCTGGCCTTGTCCTCCATATTGGCGACACGACCTTGACCTATGACCTTAAAATAAATATATTTAATAAAAATAACTATACCCGGTAGATCGTACCTTCGCTGGTATCATGATTTATTGCTTGGATAGAATTTTCTCAGTTGCATAATATAATAGTAAGACAACTCCTCTACTGTAACCTCGCTCTAATTTTTACGTCGTTACGTTGTTTACGTTGTCACCTGATCAATTTCCCGCTGCACCCTCTTCTGAACGTCCGGATGATTTACCATATGAATCAGGGACCATCTCAAAGTATTAGTTGTTGTTTCCGTTCCAGCAAAATATAGATCAACGATGATGCGGAATACGTTCCATTCTGAAATTCATATCAATTGAATATTTTAAGGAGGTCGGGGTGGGTGTACGTGAACTCTTACTCACGACCAAATTAACTAAACCACGTGCTCGGATGTGTATGTCTGATTGTACTCGTGTTTTCATATACACAATTAAAGTAGCTCGGTGACTGCTACTTATCGATTAGTTGATCGGGTTATTTCGCCCAAGTGTTTTAACAATCGTCTCTTAAATTAAAATAAGCGATGGTTGGATGTTCAGGTTCTTTGACACAGACCTGTGTAGACCTCGGGATCATGTCCATCTTGGATGACCTTTATGAAGAGGTCAACAAAGTCCCGGATGTCAGTTGGATCAAAGGACTGGCGGTGTTTTTCGACTTCTTGTCGTATCAAACTATAAAGCTTGTCACTAAGAGCCAATATCTTTTCTAGCTGGAAGAGATTAATCTAAGCAAAATTAACTTTTAATATAAATTTTTAATATAATTACAATGCTTAAATCGTGAATGAAAGTTGAAACAAAATAACTTCTAACGACAAAATGTAACATTTTGTGACAATATAAATATTTAAATTAAAACCTTTACAAAGATAAATGTAACAAATCATTCAATTTTATACCGGTAAAAAGAAACGCGCCAAGTCAGTTAGGGTCAGTGATCCCTGGCCAATTCTCAAAGATTGTTCTAAAACCGACAGCATTTCTGGGGTCTCTCTATAGTCATATCTGAAATTATTTTGAGCAAAAGGTCACTTTTCAAATACAAAGTATAACTGAACTGTAGCTATTTGAATTATCAAGATAATATACATAAAATTATTGAGACATTTCAACACGGTGGAGTAATTTGTTTAAAATCAAAGTACATAATTGCTCGATGGTTTCTCGTACTTTGGAATGCCTCCTGCAAAAAATCTATCAATATTATGGTTGCCGTCAGCTACCTTTCAGCCCTACATTTTGCCCCAGGTTTAACATCGTTTTAAAGTATTTTAAGCAAATCCACTCGTTTGTGTTCATATACAGACTTGACATTTATATGGAATATTTTTTTCCAAATCATAATTCATCAGTTTATTTCCTGTTTTGCTGAGTAATCGTGTTTTAATAACTTTAATTAATCTCTTTGATGTCATTGTGACCTCCGTTCATTAATTGAATTCACCAGTGAAGCAAACAAAAATACATTGCCTATTCTTAGTCATACGACAACTATTGGAAGCGATATTTTGGATCTCCATATTTTCCAAATTATCGTCTTTAAAAGAGTTACACACCCCACATGGACCCTTATGTCAGTGTCTAGTCACAGCAACAGTCGCTGTTATGCCTGACTTCATCTGGCCGCTACCAGAGCTTTCTAGAGGCAAGGCATTCCCTGGGATAGGTTTTTAGAGTTTAATCTGAAATAAAACTCCAGGCAACGGTCAAAACTTGTTCAATTTGGATTAGTTTTGTTGTAGGACATACAGGTCGTTGAATCGGCGAGCAATGACCTACTTACATATTGTCTATGTGGTTCAAAAATGGCGATTTTGATGACCAAGGTAGCTGCTCATTTTCTTGTTTCTGTTAAAAGCACTCTGTGTGAACCAGGAATCTCATTCTTCTACCCAGAAACGGTCATTGTCCCCAATTCATTAGAGATACAGACGACGCTGTTTTGCTGTTTACAGAGGCTTCTACAGAGGTCGTCTGGTATCCTCACCTGCTGTAACCAGTTTTGTGTTCCCTAAGAGCCTTGAAAAACTCGTTTTGGTGACAATTTACCCCTCATTCTGAACGGACTGGGTGGGTTTTGTTTAGTTGCAGCAGAATATCCGGAAGGACAGTGAGTCCTGTATCCCAGTGCTAAGATTTCGATACATTGGGCGTGGCCTCTGTGTAGGTACATCAGATTTGGCATAACTCTATAAAAATGTACGGACCATTCCGTGTGACACAATTATTTGTCTAGCAATGTCTGTCTTTTTCGCTCCATTTTGCCATAAATTAACAATTTTGTAAAACAATGCTTAACTCATTTTACGCACTGCAAAACTGGCCGCTTGCATGCAAAAATTCAAATTCTTAGATCCAGCAGTTACCGACATATGGATACTTTTTTAAACAGAACCATGCTTCGCCTAAGGCACGATTTGGCTGGCCCAAAGGAGCACTGCCCAATTAAATTACTGCATATAACACAATGCAACAGTGCAACACACATAGTAGTCACCTGACTAAACACATCTTTAGTCAGATATTTTATATGAGATTTGAGTTTTTTGAAAAAAGAACGCATTTTTACCAAGGTATACCTTTGAAACTGAAATAAATGTCAAGTCTGTACAATGAAAGGCAGAACTCTCTTTATCCATAAATATATCTATCAAAGTTATGCTTACATAAACCAACGTCAACTACCTTTCAGCCTCAATTTTTGCCTCTGGTTTAACATCTTTTTCGAGTAGTTTAGTCAAACCCACTCATATGAGTTCATATACAATAAAAGGTAAAAACTGTCTTTATCCATATGTAATGACTGGACACTACGAATATGTAGAAAGGTTTTCGCTTACCTAGCTCCAAACACAATGGTAGAAATAATGTTGCTGACGGCGTTCCCAATCCTTTCCTTTGGAGAAAAAGTCTTTCCATTTTCATTTTCAATGTTTTGCACCAAGTACCTTGCCTCATCCTGAATTCTCTCTTGTAAACTTTTTCTCCCGAGGCCGAGATCTCGAAGAGACGAGAGTGTGAATCTCCTGAGCTCTTTCCATTCGTGCCCGGATTTAAATATAACTCCAGCCCCTGCAGATTAAATTTAACCTAGTTGAATGGAAGCTCACTGGATTCTACTCAAACATGCCACAAGACCCAGATAATGAGCCAAAATATTTTAGAAAAAGACAAGTATATCGTTTTTTCTTGCCTCTTTCAAGTGTGTCAACTCACTAAAACAAAGTTGCTTCGCTATTGTGCGCATTTTCTATGTGCCTATTTGTTAGCATAGACAATACTATTTGGAAATTTTCAAATCACTACATTACCGTCCCTCCCGACTATATATCTTAAAAGATATATCCAAGTAGGTCTAGCGCTGACTGTGGTTGCGTTCTTCACGAAAGCCTCTTGGATTAGCTCATAAGTACCCAGCATTATCATGTGTTGTTCACCAAGTTTGACGTGCATGATATCTCCATATTTATCATACCATGGAAGAAGATCTGTCGGTTGTCGTCTCCTACCGCTGATCATCATCTGTGGGAGACACCCCACCACGGGGAAACAGAGAGGTCCGGGCGGCCAGTTCACCCGAGGATTCCTCGACGACAGAATCCACAGACTTAACAACAACACTACCACGAATATCAAAACAGTAGGCTGAACAAGATTGGAGAAAAAAGCGATAAAACTCTGCTCGACGTTGGCCATTTTGGGCAGAGCAGTTTTGGCAGCAGTGCGTGATGATGACGTCTAGTGTTACAATCTCTATACCAGCGCAGTGTAAGAACTGTGATGGGAGTGCTGATTTCTCGCTCTACTAGTGCCCCCTTAAATCTCATGTTTCACTGTGATTTCCACAGAGGTCAAGCATCGTCTATTAAGATGAAAAGACACTATCGCCAGTAGCATACCAGGAACGTAACCAGACCTTTATAAATTGTACGCACAGATTATTAAAATTTCCAGCACGTACTGGTACAGCAAAATGTAGACTAACGCTANCTTCGAATAATCCTGGATCCGCCTCTGAGTTGAACGGTTTCATCCATCTTTCATGTGGATGGCTTTATACTTGTATGTAATAAATGTTTTATATTTCCATAGCTACTATTAGTTGAACGCACAGCATTGCTATTTATACGTTTATTTCTATATTATTAGAGCAGGCAATGTTGTCAGATGGGCTTGAAAGTGAAGGTGAAGTCCAGTACATTTTAGATGGTGTGGCACTCTTTCCTCACACACTGGACTGTTTGAATCTCTTATACACCAGGGAGATATAACAGAGCTATAGTGTAGCATTATAAAGGGATCATCTTGGATGTCCCCTCTACTGAGCTATGGTTCTGCACAACTAGTAAGATCCAATTAACAGTATGATCACAGCTATCGTCTTCACAGATGAGACGAAGCTGCAGAGTAGAAAAGAAAAATTCTTATCAACAAAGAAAACAAACAGGTTCATTTCTTTGCTTGGAGAGAAGTTGGAAGGTGCTGGAGTTGAAGTAATCCAAGTTCCAGGTGATGCAGACCTCCATATTTCATTTAAATAAAGAAGTTTATCTGAAGCGCACACCATATGATCATAATCTTCTGAGCCTTGTCCCGAAGCCATAATTGCTCGAAACGTCATTTTCTTGTGTTTGAAGTGAAACCTAGGTCATCCCTGGTGAGGCAGTTAGGTTCTAATTGACTGGTCAGTTATTTATAACTAAGATTCAAATGGATTCAAGACATTGAATTAAGTGTAGGGACAGGTTTGGAATACATTTTAAGTAGGAAATAATGTCGTTTACCTCAGGCAAGTTTATTTTGGTGCATGAATTGGATAAAGAGCACCTTTAAAATAATTTTATTTAAGTGTTTATGTCCTGGCCAATCTAATGCTACAACAGAAAGTGGTAAAAGACCATAAATGTACTTTTGAGCTTTTTTTTATTTAATATTTTACATCAAATTTGGTAATTTATAGACACCATTTTAGTTTTGGCGGCCATTTTGTATATTGTTGAGGATATCTGCATTTGAGTTATTTGGAGAGAAGTGGCACAACATCCCTTTATGCATTTTGTACCATTTTAACAAGCTTTTTTTTTAACCACCTGGAGCAAATTTGCACCTACTAAATGTAGATCTCTGTGCTGGCGGCCATTTTGGATATTCACCAAAAAATACCTGTCCCACTACTTGGATTTTTCTAGATTTTTAATATGATCATATGGACCACTCAGAGACTAAAAAGAACATACTACAATTTTTTGGCAACTAGTCCTGGGATAAACCGTTTTTTTTTTTTTTTCTTAGACTAACTGCATGGGGCTGGGTGCAAAAAGAAAAAAATATTTAAATTAACAAACAAACAAACAAACATATAATTCCTGCTGTACCGTATGTTGATGTCCTGGTAAAAGCAAACCTTGTCACTGAAGAAAAGCTACGAATAGTATTATGCACACCTTTCGTCGAGACAAAAAAAAAACGAAAATGACTAGCTGAAATAACTTTTAAGCACCAGAACATACAGAAAGACATAACCAATCCAAATCAAATACCAAAATACAAGCACGCGCGTTTCCGAGACACTTTTTTCCTACTACTTAAATAAATTGCGATGTATGGGTTTTGTTTCGAACTCAATTAGATCTTCATATTAATCTTTATTTTTATGTAAATATGATTTTTTTTTTTTTTTTTTTTTTTTTTTTGAAACAAAAACAAAAACAGTGAGATCTTTACCTCTGAATTATATTCATAATTCGAAACGGGACTAGTTTAAACTTTACGATTTACAAATGCTGGCCTGCTACCCGAAGTGATTTAAATTTTTTGACTCCAGTTTGTGCTAAAACGCAATTTTACCATTGTCAGCGATTGGAATACTTGCAGCGACTACAGCTAAAGGTTTAAACTTGTGGTTTTCAGCATCTGCCAAATTAGACCTAAGCTTGATGTTCACATCAGGCATGCATATCTTACAGGTAAATAATAAATGCCCAATGTAACAGCTTAGCCTCACCTATGAGGGGCATCGGCAACTTCCGAGTTTGGAGCACGTGGCAAACTTCTAGACCTTACATAAAGAGTACATTTTGCAAAGACTGATATTTATGTTCATGTAGCAAACTCTCACCTTGTGTATTTTGATATGAAAATCGATAGTTTGACAAGCTTTCTGAAGGATATCCACCATTCTGTTCTGTTACTGTTTTGGTTTTCCTTTGATGGCGATATGACAGGAGTGGAAATCTTCTAGGGACAGTTGTCGATTTTGTACACTCACGTTGCACAATTCTGAAAGGGGCGACCAGCCTTGCCGTTGACAACGCGGTGAATAAGGTAAAATTAATTCACCTGACTTATCTCACAGTAATAAAGCCGCGGAGTCAGACTAACGTTAAGAATCGCTGTGACAGGAATTCTAGTCCCAGGAATTGTAGTCCTGGATCTATATGGTATTTGATGATGTCAGAATGTCAGGGTTATTAGTCGAAAGTATCGAGTTAGTGTACAAAATTGTGGGAAACCGACAACTGTCCCTAGAAGATTTCCACTCCTGTCATATCGCCATTAAAGGAAAACCATTACTGATTGTAAATGAATTCATTAACCATTTGTAAGTATGGGGAAATTGTCATTTACCCTAGTAAAATTCTTTTTTTTTTTTTTTTTTTGCCAAATTGAACAGTTGTTTTCCTTTTAATTGACCCGACCAACGTGTTCTACTGTGGACTTACTTTGGAGATATTTGTACTTATTCCGTAAAATTATAGTGGAAACGAAAAGAGAAAATCACGAAGTTTCATGTAGATGTCAATTTTTGGGTTCCACAGTTAATAAAACCGTTATCATCTTAAACTGATATGCGTAACTTGATAAAATGTTTTCACCCCTGTCTGTCTGTTTGTTTGTCATCAACATAACTCAAAAAGTTATTGACCGATTTTGATGAAATTTTCAGGGTAGGTGGGAAATGGATTAACTTAGAAGTGATTAGTTTTTGGTGGTGATCCGGATCAATAATCAATAATAATAATAAAAATCGCTGCCTTGGCGGAGGTCTGCACTCTCGGAGTGCTTTTCTACTTTTATTAAAGAAATCCATCGCTGTAGCATCGAGAATCAAGGTCTATCGCTGAAACAGACTTGACAAACGATTATAGCACTGAAAATAAAAACACTATTACTACAGCTTACTTTGAACATAGAAAAATGTAAAAATAATGCAAATTGGTAATGTTTGATATTATGATAACGATTAAGATTGAAAATTGCCGATTCATAAGGTTGACATTCGGTTCAATTCCGAAGGTATGACATGAATAGGTAAGGCCGGTAGATAACAGGGGCGAATTGAGGCTGTCGTCTGGGTCTTCCAGAAGACTGTCAGATTTTTCAAGTTTACATGATGGTAATTTGGTAGATTGTCAGAAAATATCTCTGGATCCGCCCCTGGATAAAATAAACGTCCTTTGAGGAAACCTTGGCGACGGCCAATAACTTAGGGTGTACCCTGAGTCGTAAAAGGCAAAATAGTGAGTGGAGCGAGACGGTATTTTAAAAATACTTCCATGTGCCCTACATAAGAATGAAAACGATAAAAGACCGTCTTTTCGTAAATCTGTTAAGAATAGATACAGTGTATGGCTTCCTGATTCCACACCAATATACTTGGTTATCAACGATTATATTCAATTCAGTGTTCATATCACGTGGGAAGCAATCAAGATGCCAATTATAACTACTGCCTTAATATGCTTCTTTAAAGATAATGGATGCCGTTTTCCACGCATGTAAGTTTATTGTTTGCGCTGTGCGTCTTCATTCTAACGTCTAACAGCGCACACGTTATAGATGCGTGGTGCAAAAGCGTCAGCGTAGAAACCTTCCACTCCATCGGGTGGTTTCTCGCCCTCTGGAACCTTAAAGGTAAAATTCTGAAGCAACGTGGTCAGGAAAATGAATAATTCCATTTCAGCCAGTCCCTTTCCCAGGCAAACACGGGGTCCTAAAATAAATAAATAAATAAATAAATAAATAAATACGAAAAAAGATTTAATACAGTAAAACTATATAGGCATTTCGTACTTTAAAGTTAACTTTTTTTACACTAGTTTTACTTGGTTTAGGTAGACAAGATGCATGCTTCGTCTGAAATGGGACGCATTTATTTCAGGAAAGACACCGGATCTTAGGGAGTATTTCGACCCACTGTAGCCCCGCAACCGGGGATGAATTGCTCGTCGTCTTTTATACAACTATAAATGTGCACTTTATCAGTACATCTGCACAATTCTTGAGTGATTTTAACATCGTTGCTGATGTGCGGTATACTATGTCTAACGTAAAGCAACGCACCGATGGAAAACGGTATCATTTTGTCCGACTTGGTCACTTTACCATCGCCATCCAGCCATCTTTCTGGTTTGAACTTGTAAGGATCCTGGAAGTTATTTTCATCGTGAAGAATCCGGTAGAAATCTGCCACAATCATGGTGTCCTTGGGAATTGTGTATCCCGCCAAAATTGTAGTTTCACTGGTGGCATGGGGAACTCCAAGGGGGGCTGATGGCATGGAAGAAAATAGATTTTTTTATCTTACAGGTAAATACACAAATAATGGATCTTTTACAGGAGAAAATACCTGGAAAGTTTCCTTTGGTCTCAAAGGCATCAGACGCACTCGGCTCATAGTGTATCCTTAAATGTCTAAATTAGGCCAATAACTCTACTTGTCCAACAAGATTTTTCGATATTACGAACACGTTTGTTTGTAATACACTGTCTGTGTAATGAACATTTTTTTTTATTATTTAGGCAAAATTTACTGACCAACCGGGGACATACGAAAGACCTCCAATACGGTCGCTTCCGTGAATGGCATCCTGGCCTTGTCCTCCATGTTGGCAACACGACCTTGACCTATGACCTTAAAGTAAATTAAACATATTTATCAAAAATTACTATACTTTTGCTGGTATCATGATTTACAGGATAGAATTTTCTCAGATGGATAATATAATAGGAAGCAAACTCCTCTACTGGTAATCTTGCTCTCTGGCTATCATTTTCCCGTCGTTACGTTGTTTACGTTGTTACCTGATCAATTTCCTGCTGCACCCTCTTCTGAACGTCCGGATGATTTACCATATGAACCAGGGACCATCTCAAAGTGTTAGCAGTGGTTTCCGTGCCAGCCAAATATAGATCAACAATGATGCGGAATACGTTCCATTCTGAAATTTATATCAAATGAATATTTTAAGGAGGTCGGGGTGGGTGTACGTGAACTCTTACTCACGACCAAATTAACTAAACCACGTGCTCGCATGTGTATGTCTGATTGCACTCGTGTATTTATATACACACTTTAGGTAGGTATATAGGCCTACACACTTTAGGTATGTATATAGGCCTACACACTTTAGGTAGGTATA